TGAGATACAATGAATATATGAAGTTCATATATTTTGAACTGCGGTATTAGATACGTATGATGCACGATCCTCGCAGTAGATAGCGCTATTTATGCAATAGCGAAAATCAGACCTGAAAAAAATCAGGCCTGTACGGGATTCGAACCACTGACCTCTGCGATACTAGTGCAGCGCTCTACCAATTGAGCTAACAAGCCAACTGGGAGCAGGCCGTTAAGTTGATTCGTAATAAACCCGTGAAAGTGATAAATCAGATACAATGAATATATGAAGTTCATATATTTTGAACTGCGGTATTAGATACGTATGATGCACGATCCTCGCAGTAGATAGCGCTATTTATGCAATAGCGAAAATCAGACCTGAAAAAAATCAGGCCTGTACGGGATTCGAACCACTGACCTCTGCGATACTAGTGCAGCGCTCTACCAATTGAGCTAACAAGCCAACTGGGAGCAGGCCGTTAAGTTGATTCGTAATAAACCCGTGAAAGTGATAAATCAGATACAATGAATATATGAAGTTCATATATTTTGAACTGCGGTATTAGATACGTATGATGCACGATCCTCGCAGTAGATAGCGCTATCTACTGCGAGGATCGTGCATCATACGTATCTAATACCGCAGTTCAAAATATATGAACTTCATATATTCATTGTATCTGATTTATCACTTTCACGGGTTTATTACGAATCAACTTAACGGCCTGCTCCCAGTTGGCTTGTTAGCTCAATTGGTAGAGCGCTGCACTAGTATCGCAGAGGTCAGTGGTTCGAATCCCGTACAGGCCTGATTTTTTTCAGGTCTGATTTTCGCTATTGCATAAATAGCGCTATCTACTGCGAGGATCGTGCATCATACGTATCTAATACCGCAGTTCAAAATATATGAACTTCATATATTCATTGTATCTGATTTATCACTTTCACGGGTTTATTACGAATCAACTTAACGGCCTGCTCCCAGTTGGCTTGTTAGCTCAATTGGTAGAGCGCTGCACTAGTATCGCAGAGGTCAGTGGTTCGAATCCCGTACAGGCCTGATTTTTTTTCAGGTCTGATTTTCGCTATTGCATAACGCTATCTACTGCGAGGATCGTGCATCATACGTAGAATTATTCAGCTTTCCCTCACCACACTGCAAACTTAATAATAGAGGCGAAACCCCCTGAAACCAGTTTTGTCATGTAGGGTTTGTGTTTGAAAAGAGAACTCCCTCAGTTTATTAAATCTCTGCGGTTCCCAGTGTGATCTTGCTCGTGTGTTCTATTGTCTCAGCTCCAGTCCCCTGAGAGGATTTTTTTGCCTGCCTCTGCTCGCGAGCGAAACAAAAACTGGTTCACCCAAAAGGCCCATACATGTATGATTGACCAATCAAAACAGATCAAAACAGAAGAGGTTATTATACAGATATCTTGACCAAACATGCTCGGCTAGCAGGGGATTGCATTAATGGCCGGGAAATCGCTCAATCGAGTTTCAGTTTTCTACAAAAAAATTGGCAAAATGCCACTTTAACATTTAGGGAAGAAATAAAAAAAATGCCTTTCATGCATAGCTATAGTTAGCTACCTCACTAAGAGTCTATAATTATTATCATTTGTTTATTTTTTTTTTCACCTATCCGCTTTCCCCAATGCGAAACGGAAGTGAATCAAAGGTTTTAAAGCACATGTACTTGCTTTCGTTCATTTCCCTTCCATTTTCAGGGTTCTTCGCCGCCCCCAGAGGGGGTATAGAAACAATGGAAATAACTACTACTCCAATCGAGACGGCGCGAAAACGACCCTAGTCATTTTCCATTTGAAATTTACCCTTGTACGTCCGTACTGTGAACTAGAGGTTGAGAGTTGACTAAAGCTCTCATTTTCATCGGGTAAAAATGGATCTCACAGGTGTCCTTGAAGCAACAGTCTCTTCAGGTAAAGTAGATTGGTGATGTGGAAGATTTCTTGCGGAACTGCCCTCTTGGAACTCTTGCCGAGCCAAAGCACATGGCTGCGATCTTGCATGATGTTCGTTTCATGTTGTAGTTGTGTAATGAGTTAATTTGTGTTTGTTTGATCGTGTAGATCAAAATGCGCTACAAGCGGCTCAGACTTATTTGGAAACAGCTGCCCAGCAAAATCTGGTGAGTTAATGGTGTGGGAAACTTTTCTCAAGCCACTTTTATCTACAAGACAGTGAAAGTCATTCATTTGTACAAATGTTCAGGTTTTAGCACCGACATATCCGAGTTTCACAAGGCTTCATTTTGGCATTTGTACTTATATTTTTCTGATTTTCTCAACAGCCCCAGTTTTTAGTAGCTCTAGTGACTGAGCTAGCCGATGCAACTAAGTCTCAAGTTGCAAGAATGGCGGCTGGTTTACAACTGAAAAATCAACTTACCTCCAAAGATGCTGCAGTCAGACTACAGTATCAACAAAGATGGTTGAGTTTAGATGAAGCAGTCAAAAGTCATGTAAAAAATATGGTAAGAGGGCTCCAAAACTTTAATGACAGCTTTGACAGGCTTCGTGCATGTTTAAAACGTCGTTTTCGTTATTAATGTAATGGACTGAGTACTTCTTCCTGTTTCTGTGTTATAGGCAGTACAAACACTTGGCACAGAGGTAGCTAGACCTGCCATCGCTCCACAGGTAAAACATGAACCTAAAATCAAACAAATTCTAGATCCTGTCTCGAGACTTTTAAAATTTGAATAAATTGGGGTTTTTTTTTTATCATTTAGTAGTCTCTGTATGCGGAGAAATACTCCACTGTGACGTTCTTGACAACCCAAACTCCTCTTTCAAGGTGGAAATTTTGGAGATGTCCTTCTTAAATATTTTCACTTTGTTTAACTTTTGTTGTAGTAACGAGATGATATTGATCTCAGGATTTAGATAGTATCACCACTGTGAATGATTTTCATCTGTCTAAGTTGAATATGTTACATTAATTATTGCTTAAGGAAATTATCATAATGTTTTTGTTGTAATGAAATGGCGGTTCACTTTTCAAAGCATGAGAATTTTAAGCTGCATACTAGTTTAGCAAGGCTCATTCATGTATAATACAAAATTAAATTTCTAAGTAAATACCTCTGTTCACTCTGGTAATCCAATGCTATAATCACAACTTGACTGGAATGTGATCTTTCATTGGTAAAGAGTCTAAATGATGTTGTCCAGCATGGTCAATATACTTGTTTTGTGTAGTGGGGGAGGGGGGGGGAGGAACTGGGGTATTTTTTTTTAGATATGATGTAACAGGTAATTGTTCAGGCAAAAATGGATTTGACTGGACAACTAGACTGGCATCAGATGGGATATTATTCAGAGCAGTATGTTACCATTCAAGAGAATTAGTAATTTATTCTTTGAGTATGGGTCATGAAATGTTAAAAGGAGCTGGCAACGGAATGCTTCAAGGAGGGTTAAGGATGAAGAGTTGCAGGGTTTACAAATGGCAAACTTTTGATTTTAATGTTGCATTATGCAAGAAGCTAAAACTAAGACAGATGGTTGTCTCTTAGTACAAAGTGGTTTGAACCCAACTCAAACCTTCTGCTGAATTGTACCAAAATGACTTCCCTTGAATTTTCATGAAAAATTTATTGCAATTTACCAATGGGTCATTGTTCTTGTTGTTTATCATTAATTTTTGAGAGCAGTTCAGGGTAAACAGAATGAAATTATTTATTAAAATTTAAACCAAACTTGTAATATTCCACTGTTCTAATTCATGTTTAATTTCATTATACACAGTGTATAGCAGCCATTGCTTGTGCTGAAATTCCTCAGAGACAGTGGCAAGATTTGATAGCAATTCTATATCAACTTATAATAGATACAACCAATACAGAGAAAGTCAGGGAACATGCTCTGGAAACACTGGGTTATATTTGCCAAGATATTGTAAGTAACTGTTCTCTCTACTCAGTTTAAATTCTCTCAATGGAACACTTTTATAAAGCAGACAAACTGTCTGGAACTGGATTTGGGCTCTTGTGGTTTGGTTAAGATACAAAGTTGGTATAGCTTAAAGGTGAAAGTTGAAATGAGTGCCAGTGAGCATTAATAAGGAAGCTCTAACTGCATCATTTGATGAATTAGTGATGTACTGCTTTTAAGATGTTTCAATTTGAAAATCCTGTGATTGAAATGAGCCTCAAATTATTATATTAATTGTTTCTTTTAGACCAATGTTTTTCTACTTAGATAATTATTTAAGTCTTTGCAAAAATACTGGTAAATATCAGGGCTTGACACTAATTACTTCTCAACTTACTAGCCAAGTGGGTATGACAACTTACCATATTTATTCACGTATAAGGCGCACCATTTTTTACGAGAAAATATGCTTGTTTGATCAAAATCTGCTCAAAACTTGGGGTGCATCTTCTATCCAAGTATTTTCGCGCAACAAAATCTTAAGATCAATATTTTAGCAGAACTTAGCTACAAAGACATGAAAAGAACACTAATTGCTGGTCATTAACTTTTTTAGATCTGGTGGTTCTAAAAAGAACTAGGGTGGCTCTGAAAAGAGCCATTGTGGTGGTTTTAAAAGAACCGTTTCCTATACGGCATCCGTCAAATGACCACAAAACTAATACCATACGAGCAGGGCTTTTTGGTCTGAGATGCATATAATCCAACCCTTTATTCCTACGAATTAAATAGGAATACTGCTTTAGAACACTGATCTACTTCATAAGGTCAACAACCAAAGTAAACATTTACTGCAAAAGCAAACAAATGGAAATTTGCATACGTTCTTAACAGCATGTGCTTGGTAACATGATATCCATGACAACAAAACAATCGCTCGAACCACATTTCAAATTCCTAGAATCATGTTTGAGTTGCTCACTCGAATAGTTCCGTCTCTGAATAAACAATGTGGAGATAAAACCTACCTTTTTCGTCCATCCAGCCTTTTTGTGAACTCTCAACCTTTTGTTGCATCCTACAACCGAGTATTTTCACAAAACTTTCCATTTGGGAACTTGGCTTGACTAAATTGCCAAGTTTGGGGTGCATCTTATAACTGAGTGTGTCTTATAAGTGAATAAATACGGTAGATGTTACAACAATTTCAGTCTGTTTACTAGCCAAACTGGCTAGTGGAAATCGAAAACCACTAGTCAAAACTGAATTTCTTCTAGTCTGTGGCTAGTTGGCTATTATTAATGTCAAGCCCTTTATATAAGTTAATGATTATTACTAATTATTGATGCAAATTTGGCTATTTCTGTTTTCTGTTTTGCAATAGGAACCGGAGCATTTAGTTGATCAGGGACACACTATCTTAACAGCAATTGTCACAGGGATGAAAAAGGAAGAGCCAAAGTGAGTTGTGCCATTCTTGAATAAGTTTGTGCCTGTAATTTTTGGGTTTATTAAATATTCATGTATTCAAGATATGCAATAATCCACCCAAGACATAATTACAAGGTTGGAATGTGGTAAAGGGTAACTACCAGGTAGATTCTGTCTTTCCTCATGTCAAATCTCTATTGAGATTGTTAGCCTTACACTGGGCCAGCATTTTGTCAGAAAGTACCATGAGCTCAGGATATGGAGACTATATAAAAGTTATTATTACTATTAAAGTGTTTGAGAAAAAGGGTGAATTTGGAGACACACTACCACCAGTGACTCATTCAATAAAAGAACTTTACTTATGGCATGATGCACCTCCCTTT